GATCTGCAATCGGCAAGATCGGCGATTGCATCAAGCTCCGCTTGATACCTTCAAAGGAACGCTGGTACTCAGCGTTCCATGACCACTTGACATTTTTCTTGAGCAAGCAAGAAAGATGAACAGTCATCTAGGCGTAGTTGCGCGAGTACTTGTGTAAGTACGCCGCTAGACCAAGGAACTTCCTGAGTCCCTTGACATCGACTGGCACTGGCCAGTCGGTGATCGCCTTGATCTTTTCGGGATCAGGGCGTACGCCGTGTTTACCCACGATGCACCCAAGAAGTGGTATTTCGCTAGCCGCGAATAAACACTTCTTGAGGTTGGCGTACAACTCATGCTTGCGCATAAGTTGAAGAACCTGACGAACGTGAGTTCTGTGAACTTCAACGTCCGTCTTTCCGTCCACAGCCCGACTATGGACGGACACATCGTCGAAGTAACTCGGTGCGAAGTCTTGCACCGGTCTCAACAGATTTGTTACACATCTGTTGAATGTTGCAGGGGCATTACTCAGCCCCTGTGGCATCACTAGCTACTCCCACAGCATCCCGCTGGGGGTACTCACTGCCGTGAACGGGACGTCCCGTTCACGCATGAGGATCTGATAGAATCCATCCATCAGGTCCATGAACGAAAAGATGGTACTCTTTGACATACCATCTATGATTACGTCCTTCCTCGGTATCGGCGTCTGAGCCGGTACCGTTGCAGCATTCAACTTGTTGAATGCGTGCACTATCCGCCACCCTCCTGTGGCCTTTCGCACACATAAGGTCGGAGAGCTGTGAGGAGATGTAGATTCCCTCACATGGCCCGCTGCTAAGCGATCGTCAAAGAACTTGTCGATCGCTAGTACTTGTTCACGAGGCAGTGGCCACTGCTTCATGACACAGTACTTCGAGCCCGGTTTGAGCTCGATCTCGTGTCGAGTGCCTTTGTCCTTCGGCAACTCGCAAGGTACAGATTCAGGGAACACATCCCTGAATTCGATCAAATACTTATACAAAGGATTTGCCTGAAGTGACTCCCAGGATTGGGACGCGTATCGCTCAATCCGAGTCTTCTCATCGAGGACACTTTCGTCCATCGATGAGCTGCTGAGAACCCGTTCGTTCTCAGCAAATACTGTTGCCGACCGAATATCGGCCACATACTCATCCTCTGTGACGAGTGTGCAGATCTGCTTAACTTTGCCACTACGCAGATCACGCAAGAACCGTTTCGGTTCTAGCGTTGGCAACTGAGTTATCTCCGAAGTCAACTTCGGAGGCACAATCAGATCAAGCGTATAAGCGCCTACGCTTGATCCGTCATTAACCAAGACGTTCAACGTCTCGGTTTCTTCCTGGGAACTTGCTTCCACAGGTTGCTGAGGGCCTAATCGCTCAGCAAGCGACTCTTGAGGAATTCCTTCCTCAAGTACGTGGGTACTTATTCCCTCGACGTCTTCCGACTGTGGCTGTGCAACCACAGTCAGGAACCGATCCTCTACGGTCGACTCTCCAGTCGACCTAGGATTTTCATGTTGCCCCTTGGGGGCAACATATTTCTTTCTTCTAAGATGCTGCCCGCTAGGCATGCATCCATGTCCCGGTCCACTCGACTTATTCGAGTGGTGAACCTTCGGCGCAGCCTGTACTTCTGTACAGCCGCCGGGAGCTTGCTCCACAGTGTAGTGATCAACTACACTGTGATCTTGTGCAGTCGTGCTAACGACCGTACCGCAAGTGAGGCCATCGCACTCACTCGCAGAACATCTACACGCTTGTGGACGCTCCAAGATGTTCATCAGATGGCCATCTGATGAACAAGCGGCAGGCATCTTCACGGATCGATGCTTCCAGCTCACCCTTGGCTCGTACTTTCTGAGCCAAGGTAATCCCAGGATGACACCAAATTTGTCATCCAGATCTAGTACGATGAAGTCATCATCGTACTGTTCGCCCTCTAACGTGTAGTAAATTCCTACTACACGTTTCTCAACGGTAATTGATGCGCCTGTTTCAAGATGCACCGTCATCCTTGTGAGGGGAATGTCGCGCTCAACGAACTTGAGCCTACGACCCTCTAGTGACTGGCGACGAACAAAGTTGTTCGACGCCCCACAGTCTACTAGGGCACGAAGCGACAAATCATTTGTCGCTTCCAACTTCAAGGTGATGAGCGAAACGTCATCACCAGGTGCAGAGACACACAATGATTGTGTATCTGGAGCAACTTTCGTCAAGAGATTTGCAAATTCTCTTGAGGTTGCTGGATCAGTAGGGCGCTCCGTCCCTACTGACCCCGACCATTTTTTTGATGGTCCGTCTCGCTGTTGCGGCTTCGCAACAGCGCTGGACCCACGCCCATTGCCCTTTCTGGAAAAAGGTCGTCCATTTCGCTCAGTACTGTTTGGTACTGGGCGTGGAGCACTACACTCGTATGCGTAGTGCCCTAACTTCTGACAGCGATTGCACCTCTGCAATCGCTTGTTGTTTGTAGAGCGAGGTCTCTCGCTCTCAACATAGCAGAGGTCCATTGGTTCTGGACCTCCGATCTCTTGTCGTCTCGGTGGACGGTAAGAGTTTGAGCTAGCATGAGCCTGTCTCATGCTAAAGTCTTCCTGTTCCGCGGCTGATATCGCTTCTTCAAGCGTATTCAGCTCAAGGCGGAACAGGTGGCTCCATACGGGCCCTTCTGCGAGCCCTTGCATGAACACAGTAATCAACGTGTGTTCATGTACTGGGTTGGCAGTTATACTACTCGCAAGGAGTCGTATATGTTGTGCGTAAGCGTGCACATCTCGCTAACCCTGCTTGAGTTTCAAGAGCTCTGAGCGAGCTCTGAACTCAGCGCGTGGTGGCTCAAACGTTTGTCTGAGCCGGGACTTGAAGTCATCTAGCAACCTAAACACATGTGGGTCGCTACTCTAGAGCCCCAGGGACCAAGTTTTGGCACGCCCTGCCAAGTGGGTCTGAGCAAATGTGAGTTTCATTTGCTCATATTCGACGCGACGAGCCAGTAAGGCTCTGTCGAGTTCGACAAACCACAGTAACAGGGAGTCCTCCGGGACTCCACTGTACTTGAAGATGTCAACCTTCATGACCTCACGACGACGCGAATGTGCCGTCCCGCCCACAGCAGCATGGAATTGCTGCTGTCTCAACAGCTCCGTCTGTTGGGCACCGAGTTCTCTCAACTGCTCGGCCTGTTGAGAGCCTTGCTGGTGAAGCAAGGCTACTTTCTCCCTTTCGGCGACAAGTTCACTTCGGATGACCTTGGCGATAGCGGCATGTTGTTGGTCTCTGTCTAGAGACTCCAACATGGTGCTGACGACGAGTTCGCCTACGGTAGAACTCATTCGTTCTACCGCACCCCATTCGATGTCACTCAAATGGGTAAACCCTTCACGCGTGGCGTGAAAGGTGTCTTCTTCATCCAACATGTTCATGTTGGATGATGTGGTCCTTGGAAGGACTACGAAGTGCTACCAGGTGTAACGGGGCACACCCTTGCGTAACTTAACGCAAGGGTTTTGAGTGCCCCGACGGACATACACGTGGCAAGCGAGGAAGCGTAGGTAGGGTAAAAGTAGAACTGTTATATTAATAAATTAAGTCTTTAAACTACTGTCTCTTCGTTTGACTTAATTCAATTATACTAATCTTACTGCATGTATGGTGACGTCTCGTCACCACTCATTGCGCGCGTCTTGCGGCGATTGGTGGGTTGATATCATCACGATATCAACCAATGAACAGACCCTTTGGTCGACCCTTCAATATCACCACTTTGGTCATATTGTTTTAAAGAATATCCATCTTTATATTCTTTATTGTCACTTTTCTTCAAGTTACAATTTCATGTAACGGGCTGCCCCGTTACAGCTAGCGTATCACTAAAATTGCTAATGTTAGCATCTTATCGAAATGCATTCATCCAGTTGCGAGGACTAGCCGACGATGTCACTCATCCGTTGTCGAGACCTATGGCGAATGTACGATCACGTCATCGTAGGATTTGGGAGATCGTCAAGAAAGTGAAATTGTGTTACGCTCTTTTAGTGTGTATGAGAGTCGAGTGCATTTTTGTATCAGGTAGCTTGATTAACTCCACTTTGGATGACGTTTTGTGCGAGCTCGTCGAGATGGCAATGCGCGTGCAAGCGATCATCGATCGCGCTGGTTGCTTTTATTTTAGCGGCGCTTACATGAACTGTCTGTCGGCTATAGAGCTAGCTTACGTCGGTGGATGACTCCATAAACGTCGCGCATGTGCTGGTCAAGGGCGGTGCGATTGGTTCGAAACTAGGCAGCGATGAACTTCGTGTTGCTTGCGCAACGTACAGCATAAGCAACAGCGACCATATCCAATTCCTCGACAGCTCTATGTACAATCTCGAACAAGCAGCATGTATCCTGCAAGACACACGAGCACTAGTGTTGTGGTAGTTCAGTTCGTTTCGGGACGGAAGTTGATAGATTGACGGTACTTTTGGCAGAAAGACGCATGTAACAATTGTCGTTTGGTACCTATCAGCGTGCAAAGAATAGCTGAAGATCGAATACAGCCGTAAGTTATCAGTTGCGGCGTATGAAGCTGGTAAGTATAGACCTATGATGCGTTTCCATAATGCAGCTGCCGTCATGTGATATATTTCAATGACATCGTGTGTCGTAAGTCGCAGCAAAGCGCCCACAGACAGTTTGGGTGTTACTTATCCGTCCAGTCGCCAGCTGCAGGTGCTGATCGACTCAAAATGGGAGCTACGAAGTTATACAAACAGGTCATACGGCTGAGGTGCCCCCCAAAGTGGAGGAGTCCCGAGAAATTAAAGAAATTACGTTGTTGCAACCTTTCGGCTACATATCTAAGCGGGTCGATCGTCGCCTTCTGCCTGTAGCTTGGCTCGATCCGTACTTGCAACAATTAGTTTATTTTCCGCTAAAACCCTTGTAAAGACAATTTACAGTCGCAAAAATCGTTTTCGAGGGCAATTCATTTTGCCAACTGTCGGCATGAGGAGCTCTTTCGAGGTGATCGTCATGCTGGTCGTGACGGCATCGACCAATTTGTGCATGTTCCCCGCCATTTACAGTCTGTACAGCCGACAATTAGTCTTTGAGGTACGCTGGGATCCTCTGGTGCAGATTACGTAAACTCACGGGATAGGATGCCGTGTCATGGGCTCAACTGTCGCGCGCGACCATCATCTAACGCGTTTACATTTGCTCATTGCGTGCCGTATAATGTCCCACAGTCTTTTATCGGCGCGTTTACTATGATTACCAGCTTCATGTATCACGTGTGTGACACGATCGAGAGGCCCTTGTGGCTGAGTGAAGGACAGTGGCACCGGCTCGACAATATCGGGTCCATCATGAGTTTCGTCATCTGGAGTATCCACCTTATGGACATTCGCCACCACGTGCTCGAGCGATATGTGCAGTACTTTTTCCTAGCCATGGTGCTAGCGTTCCAGGAAAAGAACCCGTGGGACGAGTGGAATTCCGTGGTCCCCGTGGCCAGCAGCTTTGTGGTCCTTTTGATGAGTTTCGCACTGCGGAGGCGGGTACCCGGTTACAACTTGCAACAGTTCCGACGCGGGCTGCTCCTCTTGCTATGTGGCGTCGCGTGTTTCGTACGTGGACTGGACGATGATACTGACCCGTTTCGCATTTTTCACGGCTGCTGGCATGGATTTGTCGGAGCGGCAGCTTACTTTAATCTGAAGGTGCTACCCGACCGAAACGACATGCGCTTGCCTATCAAAAGGCTCGATTGAGCAAGGCACCGAGGGAAGAGGGAAGCTGAGTCATTCGACAGGTTGCAAGGAGCAGCCACCCACTCGAGGCTTCAATTCGAGGAAGTCGGTCGTGTAAATCTTCGATTCCTTGCAATAAACGTATCGAGTCTGACGCGTATGCGAAGCCGCACAAGTAGAGAGTAGCGCATCGATCGTAAGTAAAAAAAAGTGATGCAACGGAGCAGGTGGCATTCACAACAGGTACACCTGAGGGGTCAACGAGTCAACGTCTGACAGCTAAAAATAAATAGGGCCTTTTTTGATCCAACCAAAAAATACCACAGAGCGTAACTTCACCATCGAGTCGGTGGCTCTGGTTACGCAGAGGCACAGAGCTCCGCATTTTGACCAATCGCGTTCGCCAAAATGGGCAGCTACGGCTCCAGCGCACAAGTAGTCGACGTCGAGCAGGAGCGGCACATCATGAGCATCGCCGACCGCTTGTACGCGTACGACCTGACGTGGTCGACCCGACTGTACCACCGCTTCGGCCGGGACCGCATACCGCGTCTCTGCTGGGAGATTTTCTCCCACTCGGGCGATGGCTTTCTGTACGTTGCGCCGCAGTGTGTGGCCTCACGGATCCCATTCGTGTGTCGTATAGTCTCTCCCTCTTTGTTCAGTCATTGCGTCGCTCAGTTGTTACGATCATACATCTCATTCTCTTCTTCTTCTTCTTCTTCTTCTTCTTCTTGTTGTTGTTGTTGTTTTGTTGTTGTGTGTGATACAGGTGGATCCTCACGATTCCACCTGTACTTGGACTCCTCTGGGTCTCTGGACTTATCGGACCTTTTGAGCCTGCAACAAAACTACTGCTATCCGTGCTTGCAACGGTCATGGTCGTGGACATCCTTGCTATCATGCTTCTCAAGCAGGTGTTCCACCGTCAACGACCTCCGTTTCACCAAGTGGATGTACGATTTGTGGGTCCCGATCAACACTCGTTCCCCTCAGGACACTCGACGCGGGTGTGGGCTATGGTGGCGATGCTTGTCTACTTGTCCGAGACGCATCCCTCGGTTGTACGCAATTTTGGCTTTGGCCTATCTCCGGTAGCACTGGTGGCGGTCTCGTTTGTCTGGGCGCTGATCATCAATTTCTCGCGCGTAGCTCTGGGCCGCCACTACCCAACCGACGTGCTCGCCGGCTCGCTTATCGGCTACTTTGTATTCTGGCCGATTTCGCTCGTCCTTGCCACGCACTTTGGCATGCTGGATGTACACCTTCCGATGCACTGAATAAGTGCTCGTGGTGAGACAAGAGAGTGTTGGTCGAGACTTCAGGGACTTTGACTGACATTACTACGACATTGCCTGCTGGCGTGTGAAGGGACAGCGCGACAGAAGAACGTCGTGACAGTGTGCTTTTGTACCGGTCCGCTTTTTGTCCGAATCGAATAACTTCAAATGCGAAACAGAGACTTCGATAGAGATATCAATTGGATCAGCGGCTCGATCTGTCGCCTTGCGTTGTACTGATGTGTTGTGGCTTGACTTGTGACAAGGCTGTTGAGATCGACAAGCTCGCGGGAGCCTTGTCATCCCTACATACACGGTAACACCTATGAGTCATCGGTCTCAGCTAGGTTTATGTGCATATACCAGCCAGGTATAGCGACTTTCAGTCTAGGATATCATGGTCAGCCTAAGCTTTTGTGATCAGACGACTACTGGCGATCCGACACGCTGCAATCTACAATGCCCCCATTCGTTGGCTTCTGTTCAGCAGATAGACACAGCAACTATCTGCCCAAAGGCTGCGGGTGATCGAGGTTTTGTGGATCGTACGTACAACAAACGTAAGACATACAGTGGACCGTAGCAAACGAAAGGAAACATCGCCACCACAACAGGCCAAATATACACATGACAAGAATTGCAAGCTAAGGATTCCTGGTCTTTCGACAATCGATGAAGTGCTCTGACTCCAGGACCCTGGATAAGCGTGGCATGTGTCAAAAAGGAGTGAGATACGTCACCTCTTTTATGCAAGTGACGCAGATGTTTGTGGAAGCTGTAGTTATGCAACACTGAGTCACGTGGTAGACGACAAAGGTGGGTCTCACGTCACTGATGACATAAGCTAACGAACGTCACAGTTTGTTCGCCTTTACCGATACAACATCGACGGTCAAGATTTAGTCTGATGGGTGCCGTCATCATCCGGGCATCAAAGTCGCAACAACGCCACTACCATGTGCAGGATGCGGTCGATTGTGTTGAGCGTCCAGGTCAGCAACATGAACATACTCGAGCGACTTACATCCATGCGCTGGTCGTCAGCTGCCTCGACCGATACCTTGTCCATTACAATCGTCAATTGATGTAACCAGATGCCATTTTTGCCAAGTCTCTTGTCTCTCGAGCTTGTTTTTCATGGAGATGAGAAAAAACAAAGAGTTTGACGGAGATTGCGAAGACAGCGATGAGCAATTAGAGAAGCTGGATGATGAGCTTTACCAGCTACGTGTTTGGAATTTCACGACAATCTAATGTTTCCTCACCATTTCAGAGAGGATGGGAGTGCTCATCCGTAGCTGACCAAAGACGAGATACTAGAAGAGGTTAGACGCAAAAGTGCTTTGCCACAGGTGTATCGCTCTAACCAGAATCTTGACGGGTAGCATTTAGCGCAGAGGATCGTTGAAAGCAGCGAAGAAACGAGGCTCGAGAAAGTCGCTATCGCCTACGGTTCTTGTAGGAGAGTATAGTTGATGTGCTGCCACGTCACTCGCCATTCCACCAATCTGCCAATTCAACGAATACGATACTAGCGGCAAATGGCTGTGAAAGGCATTGCCGAGTAATCGGAGCACTATCTTGTGATGTGTGAAGCGTGAGGTGAAGATGCGAGCGTGGGGTGATGATGCGAGCGTGGGGTGAAGATGCGAGCGTGGGGTGAAGATGCGAAAGGACATCAGTTGTAAACGAATTTAAGACTGACGGGGGGTATCTATCGAGACCTCTTGCCAGAATGAGGAGCTACAAATAGGTATCTTACTGAGTCCGTTAGGTTCCAAATGAGCATAAGCGGACACGGGCTCATATTGCTATACGTACTCGACCGTTGTTGACGAGCCTTGCTAGCTGCAGAGTCGAAATGGTGCACGAGTGCAGAACATGAGTTGCATAAAATCATGCAGAACTTGTTTCATGCGCGTAGGTGACCAGCCTTTGCAGTCGTAAACGGGTCGGGCACTAACAAATGTTGCACTAGTGCAGGCGCTATCATTCGCCTGACGTTGGTATTGCTTTGTTCAAGGAATGATCGGCGTGTGAAAAGCTGAATTTGCAAGGCGATGCGCACTATACATATTGGTAACTGACAACAGAGAGAGAGGCGAGCGATACGATCAGATCGTGAGCAGCTAACTCAGTCTTTGGTTGCGCGGCTGCGATAATTGCCTGGAAGAAGCAGACAACGCTTTCGAAGAGCTTTCACCGAGGCAGAGTCCAACCCTTTCGATCCGAACTACGCATTAAGCAAAGAACGCACCACTTGCACTCTACAAGGTCAAATACGTATACGTTATGTGAAGCTATTTGTGCCTGACATTCTAATTAGGCGGTCTACGTATCCGCCGCTTCTCCGTCGTCGTAATCATTCGTACCGCGACGGGTTGTGCTTTTCCAACCGAAACGCGACGGGAAGGCCGGTTTGGACACAGTCGGAGCAGTGAATCGGCCGAAACGAAACTTACTCTTGGACGGGTGCTGTTCCTGAGGCGAATACACGACTGACGATTCGTCCATCTCGTTCTCGACGGTGCTGCTCAATTTGCTCATCGGAACTGAGAGCTTGCGATTCAGCAAACCTGCGACAGAGCTCAATCCAATTGCCGAAGGCAAGGCGCTCGTCGACGGTGCCTTCTTATCCTTCTCCTCTTCTTCGAAAGATGACGCCGGTGAACTCGTCGGCTTGCTCGGACGGCGACTTGATAGCGCACTGAGGACACTAGCAGCACGCCAGCGACTATTGCTCTTCGTACGTGATGCTGGTGTCTCGTCATGCACTTCATCAGTTTCCGCGTTGCCGATAATGTGACCTGAGCCTGGAGAACCACTGGTGACAGAGCTTGCACAGTCGCTATCAGTATCGAAACACGTCTGGCCCTCGTCGCGGTTCTCGACATCGCTTAGACACTGCTCATCGTGGTCCGATTTGATAGAGACGTCCGCATATGAGTCCTCACGGGAGCGAACGTCACCGTCCAGAGAGCTGCCACGAGACCGAAACACATCAGCGTGAGAATCCGTTCGGGTTCGCGTCGAGTCGGCGTACGAGTCACCACGGGATCGAGGGGAGTCGGCGTACGAGTCCATTCGAGAGCGGAACGGATCATCGTAGGCTTCGTCATTCCGCTGAGAGACACTGCTCATTGAGCTTGACTCCAAACTGCTTCGAGCCGTGTCCAGGTCCAACGACGGCTCTTGGAGTGAATACCCAGATTGGCTAGATAGCCGCCATTCACTTCCAGACACATTGCTACTTAAGCGCTCACTGCCGACCTCCACGTCAATCTCCTCGGTTGAAGGCAAAGGCGACACTGCACCATGTACAGCGGCGACAGCATCCGAGGACGGTGTAGCGTCAAGGCTTACATCGCTACGCTCGTCCACCGAGTGAGATTCATCGTCGATATCCGAACTGCGAATGGTGGTGTGCTCAATCAACTTTTGCTCCTCAACTGCGTCGACGAAAACATCGCTACCGGCATCACTTTTGTCATCGTTATAAGCTGAGTCGTACTCAGGGACCGAAAACTCAAGTGCAACGTCCTCCAAACTTGCAGATGCTCGAGAATCGTGATTGCACTGAGAAAGTCGTGACTCCACATGTTCATTACCCATGCGTGGCGAACCGTCACTCTGGTCCGACATTTCAAGCTCCAACGATTGCGTCGAGACTCGGGCAAATGGTGCTTCGCCAACAAAGCTTGGCGCATCTTCAAAGCTAGAGTCGTCATCGCTGTCGTCAGACACAACCGAGAAGCGTCCACTTTGACTCAAAAGCTGAAGCTCCGCCAACGTAGGGTTTCGGTCAACTTCACAGCCCTCAAAGTCAGACTCTCCTTTGACAATTCCATTCCCCAATCGCCGCGTAGCAGCTTTTTTTCGTCCGATGCTGCCGCGCCATGCAGCTTGAATCTTAATCGCACACTCCGATGGATTCAAAGCCACAGGTGAAACCAAGTACTTCCCAAGCTCGTGAACTACGGCTGGGCTTGACCGCAAAAGCTGATTACTCGACGCCATTCCAATCTCAAGCTTTGACTGTTCACTCGTCTTGAACAGCTGCTGATCTCGTTTCATACGAGCAGCGACCGCGGAACGCCACTGGCTCTGGATCTTCGTTGCCATGCTGCTCTCGACCTCCAACACACGGGCAGCTTCTTCCTGACGAGCAGCTTCGGCGACGGCAGCCTCAGCAGCAGCAGCTTCAGCACGCAACGCCGACACCGCGGACCGAGCAGCTGTTCCGCGCCACTGGCTCTGGATCTTCGTTGCCATGCTGCTCTCGACCTCCAACACACGGGCAGCTTCTTCCTGACGAGCAGCTTCGGCGACGGCAGCCTCAGCAGCAGCAGCTTCAGCACGCAACGCCGACACCGCGGACCGAGCAGCCGTTCCGCGCCACTGGCTCTGGATCTTCGTTGCCATGCTGCTCTCGACCTCCAACACACGGGCAGCTTCTTCCTGACGAGCAGCTTCGGCGACGGCAGCCTCAGCAGCAGCAGCTTCAGCACGCAACGCCCACACCGCGGACCGAGCAGCCGTTCCGCGCCACTGGCTCTGGATCTTCGTTGCCATGCTGCTCTCGACCTCCAACACACGGGCAGCTTCTTCCTGACGAGCAGCTTCGGCGACGGCAGCCTCAGCAGCAGCAGCTTCAGCACGCAGCGCCGACACCGCGGACCGAGCAGCCGTTCCGCGCCACTGGCTCTGGATCTTCGTTGCCATGCTGCTCTCGACCTCCAACACACGGGCAGCTTCTTCCTGACGAGCAGCTTCGGCGACGGCAGCCTCAGCAGCAGCAGCTTCAGCACGCAACGCCCACACCGCGGACCGAGCAGCCGTTCCGCGCCACTGGCTCTGGATCTTCGTTGCCATGCTGCTCTCGACCTCCAACACACGGGCAGCTTCTTCCTGACGAGCAGCTTCGGCGACGGCAGCCTCAGCAGCAGCAGCTTCAGCACGCAACGCCGACACCGCGGACCGAGCAGCCGTTCCGCGCCACTGGCTCTGGATCTTCGTTGCCATGCTGCTCTCGACCTCCAACACACGGGCAGCTTCTTCCTGACGAGCAGCTTCGGCGACGGCAGCCTCAGCAGCAGCAGCTTCAGCACGCAACGCCCACACCGCGGACCGAGCAGCTGTTCCGCGCCACTGGCTCTGGATCTTCGTTGCCATGCTGCTCTCGACCTCCAACACACGGGCAGCTTCTTCCTGACGAGCAGCTTCGGCGACGGCAGCCTCAGCAGCAGCAGCTTCAGCACGCAACGCCGACACCGCGGACCGAGCAGCCGTTCCGCGCCACTGGCTCTGGATCTTCGTTGCCATGCTGCTCTCGACCTCCAACACACGGGCAGCTTCTTCCTGACGAGCAGCTTCGGCGACGGCAGCCTCAGCAGCAGCAGCTTCAGCACGCAACGCCGACACCGCGGACCGAGCAGCCGTTCCGCGCCACTGGCTCTGGATCTTCGTTGCCATGCTGCTCTCGACCTCCAACACACGGGCAGCTTCTTCCTGACGAGCAGCTTCGGCGACGGCAGCCTCAGCAGCAGCAGCTTCAGCACGCAACGCCGACACCGCGGACCGAGCAGCCGTTCCGCGCCACTGGCTCTGGATCTTCGTTGCCATGCTGCTCTCGACCTCCAACACACGGGCAGCTTCTTCCTGACGAGCAGCTTCGGCGACGGCAGCCTCAGCAGCAGCAGCTTCAGCACGCAACGCCGACACCGCGGACCGAGCAGCCGTTCCGCGCCACTGGCTCTGGATCTTCGTTGCCATGCTGCTCTCGACCTCCAACACACGGGCAGCTTCTTCCTGACGAGCAGCTTCGGCGACGGCAGCCTCAGCAGCAGCAGCTTCAGCACGCAACGCCGACACCGCGGACCGAGCAGCCGTTCCGCGCCACTGGCTCTGGATCTTCGTTGCCATGCTGCTCTCGACCTCCAACACACGGGCAGCTTCTTCCTGACGAGCAGCTTCGGCGACGGCAGCCTCAGCAGCAGCAGCTTCAGCACGCAACGCCCACACCGCGGACCGAGCAGCCGTTCCGCGCCACTGGCTCTGGATCTTCGTTGCCATGCTGCTCTCGACCTCCAACACACGGGCAGCTTCTTCCTGACGAGCAGCTTCGGCGACGGCAGCCTCAGCAGCAGCAGCTTCAGCACGCAACGCCGACACCGCGGACCGAGCAGCCGTTCCGCGCCACTGGCTCTGGATCTTCGTTGCCATGCTGCTCTCGACCTCCAACACACGGGCAGCTTCTTCCTGACGAGCAGCTTCGGCGACGGCAGCCTCAGCAGCAGCAGCTTCAGCACGCAACGCCGACACCGCGGACCGAGCAGCCGTTCCGCGCCACTGGCTCTGGATCTTCGTTGCCATGCTGCTCTCGACCTCCAACACACGGGCAGCTTCTTCCTGACGAGCAGCTTCGGCGACGGCAGCCTCAGCAGCAGCAGCTTCAGCACGCAACGCCCACACCGCGGACCGAGCAGCCGTTCCGCGCCACTGGCTCTGGATCTTCGTTGCCATGCTGCTCTCGACCTCCAACACACGGGCAGCTTCTTCCTGACGAGCAGCTTCGGCGACGGCAGCCTCAGCAGCAGCAGCTTCAGCACGCGACGCCCACACCGCGGACCGAGCAGCCGTTCCGCGCCACTGGCTCTGGATCTTCGTTGCCATGCTGCTCTCGACCTCCAACACACGGGCAGCTTCTTCCTGACGAGCAGCTTCGGCGACGGCAGCCTCAGCAGCAGCAGCTTCAGCACGCAACGCCGACACCGCGGACCGAGCAGCCGTTCCGCGCCACTGGCTCTGGATCTTCGTTGCCATGCTGCTCTCGACCTCCAACACACGGGCAGCTTCTTCCTGACGAGCAGCTTCGGCGACGGCAGCCTCAGCAGCAGCAGCTTCAGCACGCAACGCCCACACCGCGGACCGAGCAGCCGTTCCGCGCCACTGGCTCTGGATCTTCGTTGCCATGCTGCTCTCGACCTCCAACACACGGGCAGCTTCTTCCTGACGAGCAGCTTCGGCGACGACAGCCTCAGCAGCAGCAGCTTCAGCACGCAACGCCGACACCGCGGACCGAGCAGCCGTTCCGCGCCACTGGCTCTGGATCTTCGTTGCCATGCTGCTCTCGACCTCCAACACACGGGCAGCTTCTTCCTGACGAGCAGCTTCGGCGACGGCAGCCTCAGCAGCAGCAGCTTCAGCACGCAACGCCGACACCGCGGACCGAGCAGCCGTTCCGCGCCACTGGCTCTGGATCTTCGTTGCCATGCTGCTCTCGACCTCCAACACACGGGCAGCTTCTTCCTGACGAGCAGCTTCGGCGACGGCAGCCTCAGCAGCAGCAGCTTCAGCACGCAACGCCGACACCGCGGACCGAGCAGCCGTTCCGCGCCACTGGCTCTGGATCTTCGTTGCCATGCTGCTCTCGACCTCCAACACACGGGCAGCTTCTTCCTGACGAGCAGCTTCGGCGACGGCAGCCTCAGCAGCAGCAGCTTCAGCACGCAACGCCCACACCGCGGACCGAGCAGCCGTTCCGCGCCACTGGCTCTGGATCTTCGTTGCCATGCTGCTCTCGACCTCCAACACACGGGCAGCTTCTTCCTGACGAGCAGCTTCGGCGACGGCAGCCTCAGCGGCAGCAGCTTCAGCACGCAACGCCGACACCGCGGACCGAGCAGCCGTTCCGCGCCACTGGCTCTGGATCTTCGTTGCCATGCTGCTCTCGACCTCCAACACACGGGCAGCTTCTTCCTGACGAGCAGCTTCGGCGACGGCAGCCTCAGCAGCAGCAGCTTCAGCACGCAACGCCGACACCGCGGACCGAGCAGCCGTTCCGCGCCACTGGCTCTGGATCTTCGTTGCCATGCTGCTCTCGACCTCCAACACACGGGCAGCTTCTTCCTGACGAGCAGCTTCGGCGACGGCAGCCTCAGCAGCAGCAGCTTCAGCACGCAACGCCGACACCGCGGACCGAGCAGCCGTTCCGCGCCACTGGCTCTGGATCTTCGTTGCCATGCTGCTCTCGACCTCCAACACACGGGCAGCTTCTTCCTGACGAGCAGCTTCGGCGACGGCAGCCTCAGCAGCAGCAGCTTCAGCACGCAACGCCGACACCGCGGACCGAGCAGCCGTTCCGCGCCACTGGCTCTGGATCTTCGTTGCCATGCTGCTCTCGACCTCCAACACACGGGCAGCTTCTTCCTGACGAGCAGCTTCGGCGACGGCAGCCTCAGCAGCAGCAGCTTCAGCACGCAACGCCCACACCGCGGACCGAGCAGCCGTTCCGCGCCACTGGCTCTGGATCTTCGTTGCCATGCTGCTCTCGACCTCCAACACACGGGCAGCTTCTTCCTGACGAGCAGCTTCGGCGACGGCAGCCTCAGCAGCAGCAGCTTCAGCACGCAACGCCCACACCGCGGACCGAGCAGCCGTTCCGCGCCACTGGCTCTGGATCTTCGTTGCCATGCTGCTCTCGACCTCCAACACACGGGCAGCTTCTTCCTGACGAGCAGCTTCGGCGACGGCAGCCTCAGCAGCAGCAGCTTCAGCACGCAACGCCCACACCGCGGACCGAGCAGCCGTTCCGCGCCACTGGCTCTGGATCTTCGTTGCCATGCTCCTCTCGACCTCCAACACACGGGCAGCTTCTTCCTGAGCGCAACGTTTCAACCGCAACAAGGTTTTCTGTGCTATGGCCCGACGCCATGTACACTGAAGCTGGATTATAGCAGCACGTTGACCTTGTCTGTTCAACACAGCAGCTCGCATTCGAAACAATGCCTGGATGGTTGTAGCTGCGGCATGCTGTTTCCGGAGACGAGCGAGCTCGGTCATTGCTCGCCAAGTAGATAGCGTTCGAGCCATATATGCTTGTATTGTGCGTGCTGCTTGAATCTGCTTGGTGTAAGCAACCTGAGCCTGCCAAGATCGAACGAGCGACTGCAGCAAGACAATTGCAGCTTTGCAGTTCGCAGCTTCGAGCTGGTAGCGATTCCTCTGCAGTCGTCCTCGTACGATTTTTTGAATGGCTACAGCGCAGGTACGCTGAAGTCGTCGTTGCTGACGTAAGCTTTCAACCTGTTTTCGTGCTCGACGCCGTCTAAATCCAGTTTGGACGCTGAGTGCAATTCGACTGGCAGCCGCTAGTTTCTTGCTATATCCGTCGCGAGCAATCATCCCACGCACACGAGACTGGACTCGTGTAGCCATTTCGTTCTTGTGTTTCACCACCTGCCGTTCTCCCTCTTTCGTAGGAGCTTGTCCGTACGACACGCCATTAAATGACATCAATTTCTTGTTTTGCTTTGCCAGTTCGGCTGCAAGCAACAGAAACGTATTAGTATTCAGATCAATGACGAGGTAGAAATATATTCGCACCTGCTCTCCGGTCCATCTCGGCAAATTTCTTAGCAGCAGATCTAACGTCAAGCTTCGCCCCATCAACTGAAGCCTTCAGCTGCTCAACGTCGACGTCTATGCGTGTATCAAACATTTCAAGGTCATACAAAGCACAGAACAAACACACAATCCAGATCAGACGCACCGCTGACAGACTGCTTGTCTACTGGTCCCACGGATTCAATCGACTCCATCGACATCTTGCGCGTGGACTCCCATGAAGCCTTGCGTTCAACTTCATCAGACGTTTTTTGCTCTTCTCGTGCACGATTTTCAGCTACATAAACATAGCCACACATGTCAGTGCTACTGACACCCTCGTCAAGCGATGAGCACGATACGTACCGAGTTGCGCTTGAAATCGTGCAAGTGCTTTCACAGTATGAGGGCTGGCTTTCTTGATCCGTGTAGCAGGATCTGTGAACGGGTAATGCTTGGCTACAAGACATCAAAAGTTCAGCAATCGAAATGTGCCTACCCGGCACCACCAAACGAGGTACTATCATCGGTCGATAGATTGCCCACACACCTTTAGGGACTTCATCGGGATCACCATGCTTGGGCACCACCATGCCATTCCTCATACCATATTCGTGCGTCGTGTCGCGCTGGTCGTACTTCAGAAGCGCAGCTTTCGCCTTCTCCTCTGCCTCCTTCTCTACCTGTGCAACCTCTTTGGCGTGCACATAGGCGTGGTCAAAGTCCGGCGACGAAAAGTTGTTCGTCGCGTCTTTCGCGCATTGCTCCTTCTGTCGCTCCTGTTCCCGGACACGCTTCTTTTCGTCCAATTGCTCTTCAAAAAACGTCTTGCCTCCTGCAAAATTCCTCAGCGCCGATTGTGCCTCTTGCTCTTTCTTACGCTCCTCTTTTTCAAGCCGCCGCTTTTCCTCTCGTTTCTCGTCTTCAAACGTCTGTCCGCTGCTCGAGAACTGCGCGAGGGACTTCTTGGCCATCCGCTCGGCCAACCGCACACTCCTTTGCTGCTTCAACGAGAAATTGTAGGCACGATCGCTCTCGAGGTGATACGACGACTGCTTGGCCGTGGCGCTGTTGCCTTCCGGAGCCGTGCGGCGCTCCTGCTCGTCCTGCAGCTTCCGTTCCTGTGCTGCAGCAGCCAGGAGCGACTCGGAGCTCTTGACGCGAGCGTACACGGACGGAGCCTTGTCGCCTGTCTCGTCTGCCGACGGGTCCGTTGCCTTTGGCAGCTTCACCGGCGGCGGAGGTGCCACGCGTCGCTTCCAGGCGGGCGGCTCTGAGTTCTGGACGCCGCCCTTGTTAAACATGGCGCGCAGGTTCGCAACGCGGCCACGAGCTTCGGCCAGAGCCTTCCGCTCGTCTACAAAAGCGACACACAGCGACCAAAGAGAACCAAAGCACAAAAAGTCAGTGACACGTCGCGTCAGACATCAAGAAGAACAGAGAGAGAGAGGCCGATCGAGAACAGTGGGCGGACAGTACCATCGTTCATTGGGTTGCGGACGGCGCGTGGGCAGGTGGACGGACACGTGGGAGGAGACGGTCAGGAGCAGAGGGGCGCGACGACAGCAGTGGCAGTGGCGTAAGCGGACGTGTGGGTGACGAGGACGTGGCGCACTGCGTAATGGCTTTGCTTCGGTGGCCTCAAATACCGGCAAATGTCTCTGGATCGATCGGGCGTACCAGTTCTGACTATACGGACTCACTGACTATACGGACTCACTGACTCACTGACTGACTTGTGGACTGCTCCTGACGTGGTCGTTGTTACGGTGGGGCGACGGGCGGGCAAGCGCCTGTTTATTTTTACCCCTCGGGCTTGCGGTCATCTCGGGGCTCGCTGCGTCCTGGCTTCTGATTTGCCATGGCTTCACGACTCCATGACACGCGATTGGGCAAAAAAGGGTAAAGAGGCTGCGAGCGGATACCGTGTGCTTGCAGCGAGGTGAGTTTGTACCCAAAAGCTCAGATAGATAACACGGTACCGTATGAACACGTCAAACGCACAAGACGAAGATAAAAAAAGCCTCTCCATTGTCGTTTGTATCTCAGCTCATCGTCTGCCTTCGCTGCTGCTGCTATCGACCGTTTTTTTCTGTCTGTCTTGGCAACAGTAACTTCAATAGCTTCAGCTCGAGCGCACAGCTGTCGACTAAATCACTGAAAATAGAGAAAGCCTTTGCCTTCTTGTAACTTACCAAGCCAGAAGCCCACGTGCCACCTTTACGCAAAGATTGAACGCTGAAGTACGTACACCTGCCGATGCACTCTTAATCGAACGGACAAATGCACTTGTAGATCGTAGGATACAAAAGAGCCTTGCTGACGGTCCTGACTGGGGCGTATCTTGCGCTCCCAGAGACAAACGCGCTAGTCACGCTCTACTGGTTTCTATGTGACTGGTGCAATTGACGTTGCGTTCAGCTTGTTGTGCGTCATTTATGCAATCCGCCGGGACTAGCGCTGCAGCTCTACATCATTGAAGTTGGCAGGTACGGCCATATTAGCTGCTAAGAAAGCCTTGATATGCTTGTAGCGAGCATCCTTATCATCTCGCTTCACGTGATTGTAGTTACGATGTCCAGTCACTTGTGCTCGGATATCTCGAAGAAGTTTGTCTCGCTCATTGCGTCGCTTTGTGTCAAGGCGTTTAATCACTAGAGTACAGATATTCAGGGATTACGCAGAGCACCAGATAGCGTACTTTGACGTTGAAGATTTGCTTAGGCGAGAGCCTGTCCTGCAATCAACGGCAGGCGACTCAAATGTACTGACTGTCGATGGACAACTTCGAGTGCAACATTCATGGTAGACGAAAAACTTAGAACGGAAGGTCGGTGCAGCGCTTAGCTCGTAGCAAGGGGATCCATATTGTTTGTTGTTCGTTTCTACCACCAGCTGCTACATGCCTCACAAAATGGATACCGCATCACGTGTCATTGCAAAGCCGACTTCGAGCCTCGGTGGTTGTCGAAATCGGAGCCTATACGGCGGAATGCTTTGACCTTGTCTCACTGGAGTTAGCGGATTCGTGTGTGAAAATGGACCAGCAAGGCGAGGTCTTGCTTTGCATGATAGTGAGCCAGATGCAGCCTACAATGAACTCTCGCCTAATTGTATCGACATTCTCTCACACGATCCCATACTCGGTCCACAAGCTGTGTGCCCGCCCAGGCAAAGCAAAGGGACCCAGAGCGTGCTGAAGATCCCAAAGAGCTCGCAATAGCCGATTCACGATCGACCGACAGGTCAGTTGTCCAACAACACCCTTCCTCTAAACACAAAGGAGAGCACCCTACTGACGATGCGAGCATCCATCCACCGCGGCACCTGCCTTGCGCCAGCTTTCTCGCATCACACTCTGAGATGATGCATACGTGACAAGCCAAGCACTTGTTGCAGCCCACGTGAGTGAGTGACGAAGAGCAGTCGCGTCTTCCGTTCTACCCTTGATTTTGTATCCCCACTCTCCCCTCATGCCGTTCAATCTTCCCCCAAAACAGGCATCACACATGCATGTCTTCCCGTTCCCCGCCCAGTCTCTCTCAGCCAATCAGACGCGTGTCGATCGATCGATCGATCGATCCCTGGCGTACTTTGAATATCGAAAAACGTTTCCCCGGCACTTCTCGCCCCCCCCCGCGAGTTCTTCTCGTGCCGCTGCTCGTCATGGCGCCCGCCAAAGACCGCCCAGTCGCAGGCTCACTCCTGCTCTCCATCATTTCGTGCACTGTGTACAGCGTCATGTCGAACGTCATGGTGCTCACGAACCGGTACTTGCTGGGTAGGAAGTACTACGGCTTTGACGAAAAGTACTTTGTCGTAGCTGTGCAGGCAGCTGTAGCGGTCCTGGTGCTGGAGCTGGCCAAGATGCAGAAGATCGTGTCGTACGACCCGTACGACCGCACTGTCGCGCGCAAGTGGGCGCCCGTGACGTTTTTCTTTGTGGCAATGCTGTACACGGGCATGCAAGCCACGGCAGGCCTCCCGATCCACATTGTGACTGTCTTTAAAAACGTCACCAACATCATTATCGTCTGTGGCGAGTGGCGCTTCTTTCACGAGCGCGTCGGCCGTCTCGTGATCGTGAGTCTCGCCATTATGCTCCTCGGCGCCGTCATGTCCTCGTACAGTGACGTGGGTGGCCTCGCCACGCCGTCGTCGCTCTCGGGCTACTTTTGGATGTTTCTCAACTGCCTCGCAACGGCTGGCTACGTGCTGTACATGCGCTATGCAACGTCGCGCTCGTCCCTCAAGATCTCGAAATTCGGCATGGCGTTTTACAACAACCTGATCTCGCTGCCACTGCTCGTGCCGCCGCTCGTGCTCAATGGCGAGGCGTTCACGGTCTGGAGCAACCCACTGCTCAGCAACTGGAACTTTACCATGCTGCTCTTTATCAGTGGCGTCCTAGGAGTCGGACTCAATCTTGCGTCGTTCTGGTGTGTCTCGATCACGTCCGCTACCACGTACGCGACTGTAGGCGGTCTCAACAAGATCCCGACTACGTTCATCGGTGTGCTGCTGCTCGGCGAGCCGCTGAAGCCTGAAACGGCTATTTACGTCATGTTTGGCATGGTCGGTGGAATCCTCTACGGCTATGCCAAGTTTAAAGAAGGTGAAGCGGCCAAGAAGCTGAAGGCATCGCAGGCCGCGCTACAGCCAACGTCGCTCGACTGCAAGGCGTAGAATAGCAAGCGTGCCAGCTCTGGATACAGTGCAACAAGGAAACAAGTGGCTGTTGTAGCAGAGCTAGACGTTACAGGTTGGAGTAGTGGCAGCCTTTGGTAAACTTTTATGCTGTGCTACTCACATGTGTCAACGTTTGCAACGACGTAAATGCTGGATAGCGAAGGTCGAGCAACTGCATTGTGACCGTCTTTGATGTAGTTTTATGGACGAAACGTTCCGTAGTTCGACATTGATAAAGCTGTGTTGGTGGCTTGGACGAGATCTACGATGAAAGTCGAGAAAGCAAGTGGCATCGACAGTGTGCATCGTTTGCATCCCACACGGACTTTGAGGCCGACTAGTCGCTATAATGTAACATCGTACTAAAGCTTAAGCAAACGCATGTTTCAGTCACATGACAGGCCAAATAGTTGGTACTGTGTGCTTATCTTACTCGAGTAAAGCGATTTAGTTAACATGAGAAATGGCATCGAAAGCATGATTTCAAATTCTTCTTTTGGGTCAGTACAGAAACAGACATGTTTATGTAGACCTTGCCCTTTTCCATTAGACATTACTGTCTACATGCAGTTAGGTACTCATCGAGAGACACGCAGCGGGTTGTTAACAGAGCTGACGCTCGTACTGTACTGTATCCGTAGATAGCGTACAAAGTAACGAATGTCACCGCAAAATGGACTCTCTGCATGTATGAGTGCCGTCGAGCTTTCACTTGTCGACGCAATCGGTAACCACACCTTGCATACTAAAAGTACTTCCTTACACCAGACTATGTGTCATCATAGCATGATGGATTTCGTTAGCAGAGTTTGTGTCGCAACGTGCGAGATTAAAGGAGAGGCGAGTCTGAGCCAGTATGTAGATACATTACGATTGTCGCGAAGACGGCCGTTTTGCCCGATTGAAGCTGCTCGCAAATAGGCCGCACGTAAACGGAATTTGACTTAGTGCGATGTTGATTGAATATTCGTAGACGAAAGCAATCGCACTTCGACGAGCGCATCAAAGCATTTACAAACTCCCGATCGATTTCTTTTATAGTAAAATGGTCCGCATGTGGGCGAGAACGCAATGCAATCGCACAAAATACAGTGGTCATATTAACACGTCGAATGTATGTAGATCCAAATCAGTCCGCTTTTGACAAGGACATCGACTTCTTGATTCCATCATCATGCTCTGCTTCGATTAAGAAGGTCCCACAGGTGTGAATTGCAACCCACCATATTGCAAGACCGACGACTCAATTAAAGCGCCGAACTTGCGTAAAAGGCAAGAAGCCGAGGCTAGTAGCACTGTAGCAGTGTACGGCACACATGTGACAAGGCTGGATACGCATTCCGGTATCAGCTGCCAAAGAATGCGATGTACGAGATGGTCGTGTCAATTACTCCAATGCGTACCATGTAACAGAGTAAAGTGCAGAGATGAGCTCACCAATTTACTCGATTAGGTACTTGTTGCAAAGCTGGCAAATAGAGTTGTATCAGTGCTATTGACATAGGTTTATGCGTAGATTAGCGAGCGGACAGGTGGTCGATGGGAGCAAGTTTGTACTGTAGCATACCAAAAGTAAAAGTTATGTATATTGTACGATCGAATCTTGTACGATCGAATCTTGTACGCTCAAAGCTTGTACGATCAGCAACATACCTGATCAGGTCCCTCCACATACTGTATCAATTACCCTTCGAATTTGCCCTCGAATTTGATGATTTGCGGAATGTCCCTACATACTGTATCAGAACTCGGGCATCATTTGTCGATCCTTTTAAAGAGGTTTTTTCAGCAGAGTAGACAACTTGTAGTCAGATGGTAAATTGGAAAGTATATTAATCTTTAGAACAAATTGCACTGCATTCAGCTACTCCATCGTAGAAGCACTACGATGGTGTCGCCTCGGTCGTTTCCTCTTCATATAACCGACTGCTGAGGTTTCACTTTCTGCGTCCGTTCCAAAACGACTATGATCAAGCGTCAGCATGACGTTAAAACTTACACAAAGTGTACATTATGAACACCAAGTGTACATCATCGAAACTCCTCCTCGACTAGAAGTCTCCAACGTTTGTCTTTGCCACGAGAAACTGGAACTTGTTGGTCGAAAGCGCCTTCGTCAGAAAATCGGCGAGCTGTGACTTGGTTTCAATTTACTCCAGTTTAATCACATTGGCCTTGACTTGGTCGCGGACAAAATGATAGCGAGTATCAATGTGCTTCGCTCGACTTTGATATCCTTCGTTTTTCGCGATAGCAATCGCGCTCTGGTTGTCTTCATACACAACGACTGGAGCGTCAATCTTGACCTTCATCTCCATCAATATACTCTTGGTCCACAATATCTCTTGAATACACAATGATAGTGCCACATATTCAGCTTCAGCAGTACTTAGTGAGACGCTGCTTTATAGCTTCGACTTGAAAATGACTGGAGAGCCATTTATCATCACCATGACTCCAGATGTCGAACGTCGATTATCTTTGTCGCTGCCCCAATCTGCATCGCAAAAGGCACTTAGCTTGAGATCACCTGGATTGCTACGATAGTAAATTCCATGCGCTGCAGTCGACTTCAGGTAGCGCAGTACACGGATGGCTGCGTTCCAGTGTTCTTCACTTGGTTTTTCCAAATGTCGACTCAGCCGACCCACTGCAAATGCAATATCGGGCCTTGTACCTGTCGCCACGTATAGGAGTGATCCTACCAGAGATTTACAGGGTCGATTCTCCATCTTCGGGTCTTTTACCTCGCACTTGAGCATGACTTGACCTTCCACACTTGGGTTGTTGACCGTTTTCACTCCAACTTGATTAAATTTGACGACCATTCTGTCAATGCATGCACTTTGACTGATCTTCAGCTTCCTTGTCTGATCTACCTCAATGCCGAGAATAAATCTCACGTTGCCAAGCGTCTTTAACTTGAAATGACTTGCAAGTTCATCGGCAACTTTGTCAATTAGAAGTGCAGAGGTACCTCCAAGCAGCATATCGTCGACATACAGAGTCACGTAAATCCACGAGAGATATCCATCGCGACGAACGAAAACGCACGGGTTGTTACACATGGTACAAAGCCCATCTTTCGAAACACGTTTGAAATCGTCTTAAACCATGTTGCAGCAGCTTGTTTTAATCCATACAAACTTCTGTTGAGTTTCAAAACTTGACTCGAGTCCATGTCAACACCTTGAGGCGTAGATATGTATACATCTTCTTCCAAAATGCCATTAAGGAAGGCTGTATCAACATCATATTGCCGTATGATCATGCCAAATTGGCAACACACGGCAAGAAACACACGAACAGAGTTCATGTTGGCAACCGGTGAATACGTCTCGTAGTAATCCACACCAAGCGTTTGTCGATATCCTTAAGCAACAAGCAGTGCCTTAAATTGATCAACTTCTCCATGCTCATTTTGCTTGATGAAAAAACCCACTTGGTTCCAATCACCTTATGACCTGGGTTTTTCGTCACTGCACTCCAGGTCTTCTTTTGAAGGAATGCGTTGACTTCAGTATTGATCGCATCCTTTCACATCTTGGCTTGAGGAGAACGAATAGCCTCTTGATATGTGAGTGGTACCTCCAGCGCCGCATTTTCTTGCTCATATTCGATGCGATATCCATTTAGTGCTCGGTCTGCTTGATCATCATTGCTTCCAGGTACGATAGCTTCAGAATGACTCAGTGGAATTTATGCTTGAGAATTAGAACTGGGTGTCAGCACATTCGCATCATTGTGTCCGCCATATCTAGATGGTACCATCTCCGAGAATTCGGTGATATGGGTCAATCCACCTCTGGGCACAATGGCCTGTGTTGTATTCACATCCACATCCACGTCCAAGTCCACGTCGACAGGCTCCATGTTGACATCATCTATCTCGAAAGCGGGATCCGGACAGAGAGCAATGTCAGGACTTAGATTCATGGATTCAAATTTGCTAGGAGGTGATATTGGGCGAGTACCAATGTGATCCACCTCCACAGGTTCTTGTTCATTGCCAATTGACTCGTAGGGTAATTGTACCTGTACATCATTGTCGTCATCATGCTGATGCGCATGTTGAGTGATGTCTGGGCCACTGATAACTTCCACATATCGTGACTCAGGGATTTCTTGAAAAATCACAGACCGCGTAATTTTCACCCGTTCAGAATCATAGTACCAAACACGATAGCCCTTTACACCTTCTGCGTAGCCCAGAATCATGCATCAAAATGCCTTCTTATCCAACTTGTGCCGTTTGGATTTGTTGATGTGCGCATATCCTTGCGAGCCAAAGACTCGCAAATACGACAAGTTTGGCTTCAATTTGAAACAAACTTCAAACGGAGTCTTGATCAGGTGTGAAGCGCATGGAACACGATTTGTTATGAATACCGCAGTGATCATGGCTTCGGCCCACCACTTCTTCTCAAGCTGCATGTGATATAGCAGCGAGCGTGCTCGCTCCGTCAACGTCCGATTCATCCGCTCAGCCATTCCATTTTGCTGTGGCGAATACGGAACTGTTGTTTGATGTCTTATACCAGCCTGTCGACACACTTGATTGAAGCGCTTGTTTATATACTCGCCACCATTATCGGTGCGAAAACACTTCATCTTGACCGACAATTGATTTTCCATCATCATCTTGTATTCGATAAACATATCGACCACTTCCGACTTGTACGCAATGTAGTACGCGACTACGTATTGGGAAAAATCGTCAATAAATGTGACAACAAATCTTGCTCCACCCTGCGACTTGTTTTCCATTGGACCCATAACGTCGCTGTGAACTAATTGTAGCAGCGAAGTCGTCTTCACTTCACCGTGACTAGACTTCGGAAAAGTCTTAACCGATGACTTGCCGGACACACATCCTTCACATATGTCGTCTTGTTCATCGACAGCATCGGACACCTTTGTCATCTTGAAACCTTCAACACAGTTCTTGAGGGTTTTTAATGCCTTTATTGGCAGATGTCCCAGTCGTGCGTGCCATA